ACAGCACTTATTTATTTATTTTTCAAGAATCCTTTGCATACTTTCTCAATCTTTTTCTTGCTGCCTGCAGCTGATGTGGGAAAGAAGGAAAGGAGGGAGGGAGGGAGGAAAATAGAGGACAAAAAATAGAGGGAGGGAGGGAGGGAGGAAGAAAGGAAGGAAAATAGAGGACAAAAAATAGAGGGAGGGAGGGAGGAAGAAAGGAAGCAAAATAGAGGACAAAAAATAGAGGAAGGGAGGGAGGAAGAAAGGAAGGAAAATAGACAAAAAGGGAGGGAGGGAGGGAGGAAAATAGAGGACAAAAAATAGAGGGATCTGCAAGTTCACCACCAAGCTCAAAGAGCACCAAAGGCCCCACAGTCCTCCCCTTTCCCCCCCCCTTCTCATCTTCCTCCTCCTCCTCACCCCACTCCCTTCTAGCACTGACGTTGTTACCTAGTTGGGTCATGAAATGTCTGCAAGAAAACCACCCAGCTCAGAGCACCAAGGACCCCATAGCACTTTTCTTCCTCTTCCTTCTGCCTCCTCTCCTCTTCCTCTTCCACTTCACAAACCCCTCTCCCCCTTCTTCCACTGATAATGTTCCCTAGTTGGGCCATGAGATGTTTGCAAGAAAGCCAACATCTCAGAGAGCACCAAGGACCCCCCACATGATCCTCCTCCTCCTCCTCCTTGCTACAAACCCCCACTCCCTTCTGGTCCTGATGATGCTACCCGGGGATATGCAATATTTTTTTTTTACAAAATCCACCAAGCTCAGAAAGCACCAAGGACCCCACCGTTCAACTACACACATTTTCTTCTTTGGGGGAACAAATTAAAAGAGCTTGTCCCAACCCGCAGAGGCAGGGCTCTGCTACGGATTCCCCCTTCACCCCCAAAATGAGGCTTCTAGAATTATGACTCGATTCCCCCCCTCCAAAGATGAGGCAGAAGGCACATCGTTGGAAGCCCTGCCAACTTCGCAATGCAGGTAGTCCTTGACGTACATGTCACGCCCTTGTTGGAATCTGATTCCGAGGGGGAGGTCAAGCAGCGGACAGGGAATGGGAGTGTGGCTCTGGTGGCTGTGGAGGAAACTGGGGAAGGGCACAGTCTGGCTGGGCATTCAGAGAAAGAATCAGGGCCACCCCCTCTGCATCCTAGGGCATGCAGGGAGGAACGGAGAAGGGAGCAATGTGGCTTATGGGGGAGGAAAAGGCCCCGATTCCCTTCATTAGTTGCAGCTGGGAAAATAGGATTTAAAGGGTGTGCACAGCACCTTTCTGGAAGCAAAGCGTGCATTATATTTGTTTGTCACGTCTTATCTGGGTTCTGGCGTCCTCTCAACTGTATGTGTTTCGTTATCTTTTGAGTTCTGCAATTCCTTATCCTGCTCTGTCTCGTTAATTGCTGCAGCTTTGTGGTTTGTGTTGGTTTTTATTTATAATTGATACGTACTTTGGGTTCCAATGGAATTTCTTCCCTTTAAAAACTGTTCTTGGGAGAGTTTTTTTCTCCAGCCGATGATAACAGGACATTGGGGGCCAAGTTGGAGGCATTAAAGGGACTTTACCTACTTTTCTGACTTTGTTGCTTTTGTGCCACGCCCCTTTGGGTCATCACAGTATGACCGCCATGGGACTCAACGTTTATGTTGCGAAGCGAGAAATTTCTCCAGCCAGCTTTGCCCCGTTTGACCACCTTTCTTGACACCGTGATCACGGGAATCTAGTCGTTAAGTGAGTAACACGGTTGTTGAATGAACTCGTGGGCTTCCCCCTTGACTTTGCTTGTCAAAAGGTCGCAAAAGGGGATCGTGTGACCCCCCCCCGGGGGCACTGCAACCCGTCATAAGTACAGGCCAGTTGCCAAGCCTCTGAAGTTGGATCACGCGAACACGAGGAATGCCGCAACGGTTGTAAGGGTGAAAAACGGTGCTACGTCGCTTTTTTTTTCCAGTGATGCTGTAACTTCAAACGGTCACTAAACAAACTATTGTTAAGTCGAGGCCTAGCTGTACTGCGGAGGCTTTTAGGGTCAGCTTTGGAAGCCATATTTTACTCAGAAGCTTCCTCGCTGCCGCGTCTTGGTGCCTGGCAATTTGGGAGGGGTGGGAGGAATTTCATGGAAGGGGGAAGTTTAGACATAACATTCTCCTCCTAAAGTCAAGGACAAGTCACCCTGAACCTGGAAAGGAGTGGCTGGAGGAATGCCTCCAGTTGGGGACCATGGGTGTTTGGGGCATGGGATGGACTGGGGGCGGGGGCGGGGGGATTGCAGGAGGATGAGTTTTCATTTTCCCGTGATGGAGGGAAACCCCAGAACTCTCAGATTCGGGCTTTCCCAGACGTGCCGGTATGACGTCTTTAATTTTAATCTTTTGATCTTGTTTCTGAGCGCTGAATGAAAGGGGAGGTTTCATTGGAAATCCTAATCGCAGGGGGTGGGATTCAAATTTTTTAAACCACCAGTTCTCTGGGTGTGGCCAGGTGGGCATGGCCATGTGACTGGGTGGGTGTGGCTTCTTCTTCTTTTTGCATACACCCCCACACCCCTTTTTGGCGAAGCAGTTAAGATAGCGAGGGGGATCCCGGCACAGCTGACGGTCAGAACAGCTGATAGTCGAGAGGCAAAAAAAGAAGGAAATACCTTAAGGAAGTGGTGGCTCATTTTTTGGGGTTCCTGTGCCAAAAATTGGGTGCGCACTGGCACTCAGGTGCTCATGGGCCAGCACCGAGAAGGCAATGCACGCCCCCCACACACACACCCTGCGCATGCACGCGCAATCCCCACCTACACTGCTGGTTTGAGGCCTTTTTCGGCCTCCCGGAGGCTTGAAAAAAAGCCTGTGCAGGCCGAATAGGCCTGTTCGTCAACTTCCGGTATTAACAGGAGGTGACGAAACGGGCCTATTATTCGGCCTGCAGAGGCTTTTCCCAAGCCTCCGGGAGGCCGAAAAAGGCCTCAAACCAGCCGAAAATCAGCTGGGAAGCGCCTGCATGTGCAGTGAGGTAAGTTTGCCTGCGGCTCGCGTGCCCTAGGTTCACCACCACGGCCTTAAGGAGTGACTGGGAGGGGGAAGAACATAATCGGTTGCGCATGCGCGATAATGGACCGACTGGGCAGGGAGGGGAGAGCGGAGAGGGGCAGGGCCAGCCAGGGGCGCAATTTTTGCCGGCTCTCCAAACAGGGTTGCCAGATCGCAGTTTGGCTCTGCGGCCAAACTCAAGTCAAAATACGGCCAAATTATTTTTTGCGCATGCGCGAGGGAAGGAGCGCGCCAGAGGACGCGCTTGTCCTCCTTTTGCTCATGGTGACGCGCATGCACGAGGGAAGGAGAGCGGCTGGGTTGCCATCTGGCCGATTTCACGGCCAAGCAACTTTCGTACGGCCAAATAAATTTGGCCAGAGACATCATTCTTTCACAGCCAAGCAGATAGAAATACGGCCAGATTTCTCGAATTTGGCCAGAAAAACGGCCAGATGGCAACCCTGTCTCCGAAACTGCGCAGAATTGTAACAACCGCTTCTATGGAACCGGTCCGAACCAGTAGAAAACCACCCCTGCCTAATCAGCCATGCAGACAACACACAAGACACACTTCCAGGACTCACAAAACACTTTTTGACTTCGCAACCCACAGCGGAGAGGCTGCTTACAAAAACGGTTAGGTGGTGGTGGGGGGGGAGCATGGCGCATCACCCCCCCCCCCCCCCCCAGGAGGACAGAATATAACAGTTTCTCCCCCTCTCCACAATGGCCGAAAGAAACCTTTCCAGGGTCCAATTTCCCTCATCTATATTTTTTTATTTAATGCAAATACAAAAGACTCACTCAAAGGTATGATAAAACTGATCAAACTGGGCTGCTTTTTTTGGAGGGGAGAACTGGGGGGTGGGGACGGACAAGAAGTCTCAAAAAAAAAGAGACCAGAAAAAGAAGAAGTTTCTGAGTGTGCAGTCGGACGGGCGTCAGGGCTCAACGCTGAAACCTATCGGAGAAATTGGGAGATTGCGGCACGGTCAGTGGGTGGTCGCTGGGCTTGATTTCCACATTGGCGTATTTGCGGATGGGGTTGGCCTTGTGCACCTGGGAAGGAGAAAAGAAGGGAAACTGGGGTGAGTGTGAATGTCACAATGGCAGCCTTGCCTGCTCCGGATAGAGGTGGTTGCTGAAGTCAAAGACAAGACAAGAACAAAGACAACACAAGAATAAAGACTTGTTGTGGTTCACCAGCGGTGGCCGATTCGGACAGGGAGGAGGTTGGGGAGGAGCATGGGCCAGTCCTGGAGTCTGGGGAAAGCTCGGATGAGGGCTCTGCGTCGGAGGCAGAGATGGGGCCAGGGCCGTCCGACAGTTATCACCTGTCTTCGGAGTCGGAGATCGGTGGGGAAGAAGAACAGCTGGAGCCTGTTCCCAGTGTGCGCATGCACAGAGCTGCCAGATGAAGGGAACAGCTAACAAGAGTTGACTTGGGAGTAAAGCCACAGGTGGACGGTGAATGGCCCCTCCCCTAGGGAATAAAAGAGGAGCTAAAGGGGAGTGGGGCTTTGCGGAAGACAATTAGTTCAATTCATTAGGGTGAAGATCTGTGCCTGTATTCTTGCCAAGTATTGTCTGCTACAGCGTGACGTTTGGAAGCTGTCGGCCTGGCAACTCTCCAAGCCTGATAAAGGTCTGTGGTTGTAAATCACTCTTGAAAGGCTGTTTGCCAGGACTTTGCTGGACATTGGCCTAAATAAAAGGGGTTTTGCTGGGACGAGGGGTCTGCTTCGTGATTTTGGGAAGCCTAGGTCAGAACAGACAAAGGTAAGGCCAAGGCCAAGACAAAAACAAAGACAAAACAAGAATAAAGACAAAGATTAAGGACAAGATAAAGACCAAGACAAAAACAGGACAACCTTTACTGTCATTTTTTTTACTGTGAAATGAAATCAAAATGAAATTTTGAAGACACAGTGTCAACCCTGGAGTTGGCTGGACTGTACGCTGATTGGAGACTCTGGGGGGGGGGAAGTGACAAAAGTTTTACTTTTAATTGGGTGTAAAACCGGCGGGAACCAAGAGCCAGTTTTCCACCAGGAACATTGCCAATTTGATATGTCCCAATAAAATGTTCTTTGAGGAATTTGCCTGCCTCGGAGTTCATATTGAATGGGATGTATTACTTATAACACAGTTCAAAGCAGTGTTTTTCAGCCGTGGCCAATTTAAGAGGGGTGGACTTCAATGCCCAGAATTCCCCAGCTAGCACTCTGCAAATCAGCGGTCCCCAACATTTCAGGCACCTGTTGTGGTCTGCTGGCGGCCTGCAGAGAAGGCAGCAGAGTTGGACAGTGTGGGGAGGAACGGGGGCCAGTCTTGGAGTCTGGGAAGGGCTCAGACGAGGGATCTGCGCCCGACGCAGAGATGGGCCACCTGGGAGTTATGTGCCGACTCCGGAGCCTCCAGAATCTGACAGCAGTGAGGCAGAGGAACAGCGGGAGCCTGTTCCCAGTGCGCGCCTGCACAGAGCTGCCAGAAGGCAAGAACAGTTAAGACAAAAAGGGGCGACTTGAGAGTAAGGCTTGGAGATGATTGGCCCCTCCTGTAAGGCATCAAGGAGGAGCCAAGGGACGTGAGCCTTTGCAGGAAGCAACTTTGTTCGTTCTGGTCGGTTTAAACTCTGAAGCTCCGTGTGGACTTTGTGCTGCATTTGGCCTCGTACAGCTAATGGGCAATTTAGTCATTGGCAGCATTTCCAGGGAGATAAAGGTGGGTGCTTATCAGCCTTATCCCGAAGGACTGGGGCAGAACTTCCGTTGGACTATTCACAAACTCTGTGGGACTCATTACGGGCTGTGAATGCATATAATTCACAGCCGTTGAAATAAAACCAAAAGGGGCTTTGGGAACAGCGTGTGATGGTTACTGCCTCAGGAAGCCTTGGTCAGAACAGCAACAGGGACCAGTTTCGGAAGAAAACTGGTCTTCCACAGACCAGGGGCAGGAGAGGGGAGAATGGTCTTGTTCGCCACCGAGATTCTGCGCGTGCATAGATGAAGCATCAGTCACTGGTGCCTGTTGCTTGCGCAGCCCAGATCTTAGAGGTTACAGCCGGTACTGGTCCAGGACCTGAGGGTTGTGGACCCCTGCCATTAATGCTGCATCTGTGCAAATACAGGAAGTCCTCGACTTCCAACAGTTCATTTAGTGACCATTTCCAAGTTACAACGGCACTGAAAAAAAGTGACGGAAGACCATTTTTCATACTTAATGACTGTTGCAGCATCTCCATGATCAGGTGGATCAAGATTCAGCTGCTTGGTCAACTGACTCGTATTTGTGACGATCGCGTGATCCCCTTTTGTGACCTTCTGATGAGCAGAGTCAATGTGAGAGGCCAGATTCGCTTAATGTTCTGACCAAGGCTTCCGAAACCGTAATTACGCACACGCTTCTTTTAAAAACAAGTCGTTTATTGCAACACTGGGAATTGTTTGTTTTCCCAGCCGGTAATGAACCTCAAACAGTTCCTTGAGATAAGCACCCACCTTTCTTTCCTGTCAAGTGCTGCCAATAATAGGAGCGTCCAATGAAGTAGGAAGAAAAAAACAAAAACCAACCAAAGTACAAAGAGCTTCAAGAATGACTCTGAACCGAACGAACGACTTTGCTTTCTGCAAGGTTTTGTCCTCTTGGACTGACTTTTGTCCCTTATGGGAGGGGCAATCACCTCCCAGCCTTACTCCCGAGTCGCCCCTTTTTGTCTCAGCTGCTCTTGCCTTCTAGCAGCTCTGTGCATTCGGAACAGACTCCCCTTGTTCCTCTTCCTTGCTGCTGCCAGACTCCAAAGGCTCCGGAGGCACTCCCAGATGGTCCTGGCCCCATGTCTGCATCGGACGCAGGACCCTCGTCCGAGTCCCCTCCAGATTCCTCGACTGGTCCCCGTTCTTCCCCACTGTCCAATTCCGCTGCTGTCTGCACCGGCTGCCGGCGAACCACAACACTTAACAACCCCAGGAGACCATCATTTCTGTGGCTAAGCAAGACAAATTGTTCAATGAGCTTTTTACGACCTTTCTGGCTGCAGTCGTTAAATGAGACGGTCGTTAAGGGAATCCTGCTTCCCCCCCATTGACTTTTCCTCATCAGAAGGTCGCAAAAAGGGACGCTGCAGCCATCATAAATATGAGCCGCTTGCCCCAAGTGTCTTGAGGTTCGATCGTAGTGACCCTGGGGAGGCTTGCCTCGTTCGTAAGTGCGAAACACGGTTTCTAAGTCTCTTTGCTTAAGTGCCGTTGTAACTTTGGTCGCTAAATGGACCGCTGTAAGTTGAGGACTTCCCTTACAAAGCAGAGGTGTCCTTACCAGCTCTTCTCGCAGCTTGGCCCTCTCCTCTTTGGCTCGTTCCTCCTCCACCCTCCGGGTGGCCTCCTGAAGCCGGGCCTTCTCCGCCTCCAGCTCGGCCAGCCGATTCTCGAACTCCAGACGCTCCTTGGCCCGTAGTTCGGTGGCCAGCACGAAGGGATCGGGGGCTGCAGAAGCAGAAAGGAGAAGCGCCAGGTTGAGTAATGGTCCCGTTTCCTTTTCTCTGCTTCGGGGCCGACCCACACGGGGGCCGGGGGGAGGGAGGGGGGCAGTAGAGATAGCTGGGAAGGGTGCTGGAACCCAAATAAAGAGCGCTTTCCCTTGGGAACCAAGGACATTCTAGCAGGTGTTTTTTTTTTTAACAGATTAACAGAATGGGAAGGGACCTTGTAGGTCATCTAGTCCAACCCTCCCCCACCCAAGCAGGAGACCGTTCACCATTTCTGATCAATAGCAGTCCAGTCTCTTTTGAAAACCTTCCTGAAGGCAACTTCTGTTCCATTGGTTGAGGGTTCTCACTGCCAGAAAATTCCTCCTTATTTCCAGGTTGATTCTCTCCTTGTTCCGTTTCCATCCATTGTTCCTTGTCTGGCCTTCGGGTGTCTTGGAAAATAGCTTGTCCCCTTTCCTCCTCTCTGGGGCAGCCCCTCCCTCAAATATTGGAAGGCTGCTCTCCTGTCTCCCCTGGTCCTTCTCTTCCCTAGACTAGCCAGGCCCAGTTCCTGCAACCGTTCATCGTATGTTTTAGCCTCCAATCATCCCCTAATCCTCCTGGTTGCTCTTCTCTGCACTTTTTCTAGAGTCTCAACATCTTTTTATAGTGTAATGACCAAAACTGGGTGCAGTACTCTAGGGGTGGTCTTACTAAGGCTTTACAGAGTGGTATTAATACCTCCCTTGATCTCGATTGTATCCCTCCGTTAATGCAACTTAGGGTTGCATTGGCTTTTTTGGCTGCCACTGCACACTGCTGGCTCATATTTCGCTAAGACTCCAAGATCCCTCTCACAGTTACTGCTCGATAATGATTACAGATAATCAGAGTTGGAAGGGACCTTGTAGGTAGGTCATCTAGTCCAACCCCCCCACCCCCAAGCAAGAGACCCTACACCATTTCTGACAAAGGGCAGTCCAATCTTTTCTTGAAAGCCTGGTTAAGCCTGGTTTCGCCGAGCCTATATGCATTCTGTTGTGTGTGGCCTTACTAAGGCTTTATAGAGTGGTATTAATACCTCCCTTGATCTTGATTGTATCCCTCTGTTAATGCAATTTAGGATTGCATTGGTGTTGAGGAGGAGACAGGTCACCTAGCAACTGGACTGTATGCTGATTGGACCAGGTGACCGATTGATTTGGGAATGTGTCAAACTTCCATTTTTAACCAGGTGAAACTATGGGAACTTTTAGAGTTAGTATTCTATTCTATTATTCTATTCTATTCTATTCTATTCTACTCCTATTATCTATTCTATTCTATTCCTATTAGACATTCTATTCTATTCCTATTATCTATTCTATCCTATCTTATTTCTATTCTCTTTTATCCTTATTTCTATTCTATCCTTATTTCTATCCCATTCTATCCTTATTTCTGTTCTATTTCATTCCATTCCATTCCATTCTATTCTATCCTTATTTCTATTCTACCCTTATTTCTATTATATTCTTTTTTATTCTATTCTATCCTATCCTATCCTTATTTCTATCCTATCCTTATTTCTATTCTACCCTTATTTCTATTATATTCTTTTTTATTCTATTCTCTCCTATCCTATCCTTATTTCTATTCTATCCTTATTTCTATTCTTATTCTATTCTACCCTTATTTCTATTCTATTCTATCCTTATTTCTATTATATTATATTCTTTTTTATTCTATTCTACCCTACCCTATCCTTATTTCTACTATATTCTATTCTATTTTATTTTATTCTATTCTATTCTTTTTCTATCCTATCCCATCTTTATTTCTATTCTATTCTATTCTATTCTATTCTATTTTATTCTATTCTATTCTTTTTCTATCCTATCCCATCTTTATTTCTATTCTATTCTATTCTTATTCGATTCTATCCCTATTTCCATCCTATCCTATCCTATTTTCTATTTGAAATGTTAAACTTGGAAAAAACCTTCAGGCCACATCCGATGGGCCACCACACCTGAAGACGCCTCACCTAAAAGCAGCTTGCTGTCTTTCTTGGGAAGGAAAGGCTCCTGGTGTAGCACCTGGCTGGGTTGGGCTTTGAAGACGGCAGCTTCTTTCTGGCGCTTCATCTCCTCCTTCAGCTGAGGAGAGAGAGAGAGATTGGGGGGCAGGGGGGGGAAGAAAAATTCAGGCAGTCCTTGACTTACGACCGCGAGGGAGCCCCAATTTTTTTTTTTTTTTGCCAACGAGCCAAGGCAAGGTGTTAAAGCAACTTTTGCCCCCCTTTTTAAGACCCTTCCGTGCCACCGTTGCTAAGCGGATCGCTTGCGGCTGTTAAAAAAGTTAGCCGCACGGTTTGATCAGTGAATCCCGGCTTCCCCACGGACACAAAAGGAGATCGCGTGTCCTTGGGACCCTGCAACTGTTGTTAAGTGTCTGTATTTCTGCTTGTGCGCTGGCCGATGGCTTTGGAACGACTCAGCAGAGCTGAGGAGAGCTGAGGATTGATTCTGCAACAACTGCAGGACTGCTGGAAATGGCTCTTTTCATGTATTGATGTGGTGCGTGTTGTTAAAGGGGGTTGGGGCACATATAGGTTGTAATTAAGCATTGAGTTAAGACATGGTAAAAGTGGCACCAGGCGGGGATCAGTTAGTGAGGGTCGGAATAGGTTAGGGATGTAGACATGTTACAGGGTTAATAGCATTTAGGGATAACTAGAACTGCGTATAGGCCTGGGTGCGGTGGGGTGTGTCTCATGATAATGGTTAAAAAAAGGAAAGGGAGCAAACTCAAACCCAGCTCTAACCTTGTCTGGCTTTTAGCCTTTCTTGTCAGAGAAGAGTATTTGTTGTTTGCTGAGCTAACGAATAAACCACCATTGCACGACAAAGGAGCTGGAGTTTGTATTCATTTCAAGGACAAGTCTTCAATACTCAAGGACTGGCTGAGAGTTAAGTGCATGCCAGTGTCAACTCATAAAATATCCCTCTGCCTGTTTTAGTAGTTGTCATTAAAAAAAGGGGGGGGGGGGGGGGCGGGAATAACAAACCAGGCCTCTGAAGGATCAGGGTTGGCGCCTGAACACATCACCCTTGGCCAGGTTCAAGCCAGGAATGCTCCAGGGGCTGTTCTGCAGCCGTACATTCGCAAGGAGCGCCTGAGTCGGCCCCTTTCTACATTCTGACAGCCGTTGGAGAGGAAGCCCTGGCTCAATCCTCACGGGGCCGGGAGGACTTTTCGCTGTCCCACTTCTGCAAACCCACGTCCTAGGGACTGCAAGTTGATCCTCAGGCGGTGGTGGGGGCTTGTGAACCGGACGTCATGTGTGTGTGTACACGCCTCGTTCGTCACTGAGAGGAGACCAACCTTTGTGACTCGGGGTTGAACTGTGGTGCTCTCTGAGCTTGTCTTCTTGCAGATGTTTCATGACCCAGCTAGGGAGCATCATTAGTGCAAGAAGGGATTGGGGTTTGGGGGCGGGGAGGAGAACTATGAGGTCCTTGGTGCTCTCTGGCTTTGTTTTCTTGCAGATGTTTCATGGCCCAACTAGGTAACTCCCTCAGTGCAAGAAGGGGGTAAGGTTTGTGGAGAGGAAGGAGGAGGAGGAGGACTGCGAGGTTGATGGTTCTCTCTGAACTTGTCTTCTTGCAGATGTTTCATGACCCAATTAGGTAACATTATCAGTGCTAGAAAGGATTGGGGTTTGGGAGGAAGGGGAGGAGGAGGAGGACAACAACGATGGGGTCCTTGGCACTCTGTGAGTTTGGTTGTTTCTTTGCAGACATTTCATAACCCAACTAGGGAACATCATCCAGGCTGGGGTAAGCCATGGTAATGAAACTCAAAAGACAGGAGTTTTCAAACTCGACAGCTTGAAGACTTGTGGACTTCAACCCCCAGAATTCCTCCTTCAGTCCTGTTTAGCTCAGGAATTCTGGGTGTTGAAGTCCACAAGTCTTAAAGTGGCCAAGTTTTGAAGTCCCTTGCTCAAAGACTTTGGCCACCTCATGAGAAGGAAGGAAGGACTCCCTGGAGAAGAGCCGAATGCTGGAGGACAATAGAAGAAGGAGGGGACGGCAGAGGAGGAGGGGGCTGGATGGAGTCACTGAAGCAGTCGGCGTGAGCTTAAATGGACTCCGGGGGATGGCAGAGGACAGGGAGGCCTGGAGGAACGTAGTCCATGGGGTTGCGATGGGCCAGACACAACTTCACAACTAACGACGACAAAGCCATGGTATAGAAACAGAGAGCAAACCCCACTCCCTCTAACCCTGATGAGGTAACCTAGTCGGGTCACGAAACGTGTGCGAGAAAACGAGCGCACGGACCACCAGGGACTGCAGAGGCCTAGTTATGTATCCACCTTCCCCTTATTAAGGAAAAAAAAGACAGTCACTAGCTCGCTTGCATTTTTCTCCTCGGGAGGAAAAAGAGAATTGGAAAACTCTCTTTCGGGAGAGGAAAATTGATGCACACATCCCCACCTCCCTGAGAGCCGTTTTGGAGCCACCATCCAAAGCCCCGAGGACCAGGGGAGGGGGCTGAACCCAGATCTGGATTTCTTTTGTGGACAAAA